GAAACAGTAAATTTGAAATGTTCCTGCCTCCCTGAGTGATGGATGGGAATCACCCAGAAGCTGGCCTCCAACCCTCAGAGGAGAAGGACCCTTCACAGTAAGTATCCAATGGTCGTTCTCCCAGTACTATTGATCCTAGGTAGACTCAGCGGTCCTAATCTATCCTAATAGGTAATCAAATCTCAATTAATCTAACAATTTGGTACAAAAATACTCTAATTCATCTGGCCAGTGAAATAAATAAAGGCCAGTAATAACACAATTTGCATTAAAATTCTAACCCCAATTTGTCAGATAGGCCAACTATAGATAAATTCCAGCAATAGGATAGTCGGTCCCTAATAATTGACTAATTAACATAATTCAATTTAATCCCTTCAATTAATTACATTACCCCTAATTAGAACTTAATTGATTAATTAATTACACTACTATCTTACAAGTAAATAGCGAAATGACATCCAATATAAATTAAATGAATGCAACACTTAAATAGCAAAAAAGGAAAGAAAAATATCTAAATTATTTTGGCATGATAAGAACATAAGAAGAGCCCTGCTGGATCAGACCAGATTAGTGTTCCATCTAGTCTAACACCTGGTCTCACACAGTGGCCAACCATTTCCTCTCGGTGGCCAATAATAGGGTGATGATCTAGTGGATCAGTTTACTCAGCTTATTTTTAGGGGAATTATTATTTCTAAATGACTGTAATAGAAATCTCTTAGGGACCTGCAAGACCCTCACCTCTGGGCATCTCAAAGGCCTGGATAGGCTTGTCTCATTAGCACAGAGAACTGGTTGCATGATTATATAGGTAGAAAAAATTATCCCACACAAGAAAAAAAAAACTCTTTCCGTATGGATTTCGATGATAAAAACATATTACATGGATATAAATGAATTACTCACTTGATTCTAATACTTAATATTTGAGATTTCTCTTAAACTCATACTAAAAAAGAATGATTACAGGTCCTGCTTAATCCGTCTTCATATGATCTGGTAAAATAATTTTGCAGCTGTAAAGGCAACAAATCTTATCCTACAACTCATTTCATACTTGGTTTTATGCCAAATCTTTTTCCCTAGTGAGGGATATCAAAAGTGACTTGCTGTTGTAACTGTTTTCCTTAATACTAAAATACAGTTTCCTAAATATTAAAATATGGTGTCTATCCTATATAAATAATTCATGGTGAATAATAGGGTTGGATCCTATTTTTCATGCAAGCTGTGTAAATGGCACTTCTGCTCATGCAAAAGTTTTTTTAACATAGAGTTTTATTAGTTTATATATAGAAGGGGGAAGGGAAAAGAAGGGGGGGAAGAGTGCAAAATTGTATTAAAAAATTCAAATTAGCATTCTGCATGCAAAACCTCTCCTGAAAGTTTCACAACTATTATAACCATCTTTCTTATTGTTCTTCATTTAGTCTTAGTTTCTTAGTACTTATGTTTTAACCAGTCATAAAAGGCCCTCCATGGTCCCATAAATTCTTCTTCCATTTTTCCTCTTAGTGTATTTGTTAATCTGTCCATTTCAGCACATTCCACAATCTTTGTTATCAACTCATTAAGCGTTGGGATTTTCAGTGTCCTCCATATCGTTGTGAATTAAAATTCTGGCTGCTGTTATAACATGTAAAATAAAATATCTATGGTTCTTATTTAAGTCATCTGGTAGGCAATTTAACAAGAATACTGGTTTTAAAACTATTGTAATATTCAACACTGATTGTAAGAAAGCATGTATTTCAATCCAGTATTTATGAACCTTTTTACATGTCCACCACATATGGTAGTATGAGCCAACATGATAATGCAAACTTTTTACTAATTTCCCTTTCCTGCAGACCTTTAGTAATCCCCTTGTGCCTTTTTCCTGAGGACTGACCATCCTACAGGAACAAGATTTCAGGAAGTTACAGCAGGTTACTGTAGGAAAGAGACAGTGATAAAGTTCCATTACATGAACATGTGCTTATCAGGCTATCTCCTGAAATTTTCTACAGGACGTTATAATATATATAGACCAAGATGGGTAGCTGTGTTAGTCTGTCTGTAGCAGACAAGTCCAGTAGCACCTTAAAGCCTAACAAAATATGTGGCACGGTATGAGCTTTCATGAGTCACTGATCATTTCTTCAGATACCTGAAGAGGTGAGCAGTCTCATGAAAGCTCATACCCTGCCACATATTTTGTTAATCTTTAAGGTGCTACTGGACTCTTGCTCTTTTCTACTATTATATCTATTATACCCATAAACTACCTAATCTCAAAAATGTTTACTTGTCCTTAGATTTCTTATGTGTAGATGTCAGTTTTCTGAAGGAAAACTACACATGATGGGCAGTTTCTGATTCTTTGGGCACTTTCAATGCATTTTAGTAATAACAAGAGGGGACCCGCAACAAAATGTTGCATAATGTGTTGTGGTCCTACCGTAGTCTTCGTTGCAGGCAGCCCTCACTTGTGGGGAGGGGGCATTCCCCTACCTTCCCCCTCCCCCCCCCTTACTGTCAAAGTACCCTCCTCTTTCTAATCTTCCCTCATGTCCCCTTCTATGTCAGCTTTCCTCCCTGCCCTTCTCTAGCAATCCTTTCTTACCCCCTTTCTCCTCTTGCCCCTTATGTCTCACCCCTGCTTACTGCAGCCCTTCTCAATGTCCTTCCCCCCCACCTCCTATCAGTCTGCCCCTTTCTCCACTATTTCTCTACCCCCCCAATCTCCCTCTTTCTCTCCCCTTCCCTCAGACAATCTCCCATTCTTTTCTTTCTCTCCCCCCAACAGACAATTCCCTGTTCTTTCTGTCTCTCTCTCTTCCCCCCCTCACAGAACCCCACTTCTTTCTGTTTCTCTCCTTTTGCAGCTGCAGAGCAGCAAACGTCCCCAGTCTGGTTGTAGGGGCCGACGACGCAGGCTTCGCCTCCTCTGGCGCTTCAACTGATGGCTGCAGGGCCAGTTTGGGTAGCGGTGGCAGCAGCAGCAGAGAGCAGGCGGGCTGGTTCCCAGAGAGGCGCTGCCGTCCCTTTGGCTCTCTTGGCCGACCGGCTGCCTTCACTCAGCAGTCCAATGCCCAAGCCTGCTGGCTGAAGCAATAGTCTTCGTTGCCGGCAGTCTGGGCTGGGGGGGCTGTCCCAGAGGCGGGGTGCAGTTATTGCGGGGACGGCTTCCCTCTTGACTCCAGCAGCTTTCCCCATGCCTCTGTAAAGTCCGTTCTCTGGGCATGCATAGAGTTTTACTTTTTTTTTGGGGGGGGGGTATTTAGGCATCCCCAGCATACGTTTTTAAACATTTTACATTTTTCTGAAAACATGGGGACTGCCCCAAGTTTGCTGGAAGATCTGCTTACCCTCCATGTGACCCAGATCCATGGAAATAAGTATCCGCACGCAGAGGGGACCTTGGCTATTATATAGATTTGCAAACTGGCTTTGCCATTTCACACAGTGAAATCAGTCTGTGGCAGCAAAAATGGCAGAAGTTTGTGACAGTCTAAACAGCAAAGGATGGACAAAGTGGTCAACTGAGTGAGCATTTTAAAGTTGGAAGCCCTGGTCTAACATTTCAGCCACAGTACTATACTTTTTCTCCCTTTTGATCTCTCAGAGAACTATTCTGTGGGATTTTTTTTTGCCACAGGTGATGATTGAAATATTCTGTGTGCGTCTTTCTGAATCCGCTATAAAAGAGGAAGAGGATATGATCGAGGGGCTTTATTCTTACTGCGTTCTAAAGCAGATGCATCCCCGTGTGAGACAGAGGACAGCTCTTGAACCAAGAAGTTTAGCAGATTTTCCCTTCTTCTAACGCCCAGATCCCACTGATTCAAAGACTGAAACAGTTGCTTTCCTTCTGATGGCTCTCCATCCTAAGTTGCAAATTCCTACTATTTTAGTTAGGGTCAGCTCTGTTGCTTGTTTAAAAGATCCATGGCTTTCTTGCAACATAGAACTGTGGTGCAGATCTGCCAATGGGCTCATTTAGTGTTCTTCCAAAGACCATTTAGACTATGTACCTATCTGTCACCAATGATCTTACCACCCACCTTTTGGCCTCTTTCTTGAAGGCAGAAACTATTAAACAGTGAGGATGAGCAGTCTTTTTACTTTTTTTGAGAGCCTGAATATCTCAATGGTTCTCAAACTTTAAGTGGGACCTACTTCACATCTTACCCCACTTTTTGGGATCCTGCACTGAAGGATGCTGGCAGTGGGCATAGGCTACACTCATAGCTTCCTGCACTGCTGGGGGTTAACCAAATCCTTAAAAATGAATAGAGGTGCAGAGAGGAGGATGGAATGTGGAGGCTCCGTCTTCTCATCTCCTTTCCTACTACTAGGAGGGGTTGGTCCTCCTCTCCCTGCTCAGCGTAACAACCCACCTACAAGAGAATTGCAAGTGACTTTTAGGTCATTACACACAGGTTGAGAGCTATGTGTTAATCCGAGGAACAGGTCAAACTTGGCTCTGCAATTACTGTAACCAGTTTCTCTGTAATTGCTTCCCCAACTTTTGTATGCAATAGAAAGACATGTCAGTACAGTTGCTTGTGCCAATAAAAGGACCCAACTAGTAGCATTCAGACGGATCTGGTCCTACCAAATCTTAATCAAAGTATGCCGAGTTTCACTTGCTAAACACACACACAATATTTCAATTGTGAAAGGAAGATTCTTATCTAATATTTTTCTTTTGAATTGTATATATAATGTTCCAGCTGTTGGGGTTTAGCTGCTATGCAGCCCACATTGTAGAACTTGATTATCCGTAAAGAGATGAATATGTGTAGCGAAACACACTGCCTCCCCATATTGCTGACTAAGAGAATAAAACTGCTGAGACTGAATCTGTTGATCAGATGGTTGTAGGAATAATTCTAATAATTCTGCTTTGCAACTGCACAAGGGCAAATCTTGTTCCCATGACTTGCTCTGTGCAGATAACAATTAAATACACAAAAGCAAAGATAGAGAGTATACTTGGAAAATGATGGGACTGTTTTATTTACAATATGTACATGAAAACCTGTGTTCCAAAGAGTGAAGTCCACCAGCATGAGTTTTAACATATGACTGCATCCGTAGTTCTTTCATGAGCAGTATGCTTGCAGCAAGCCAACATGGCTCAGGAATGTGATGCGGACAGATGAACAGCTGAAGGCAGTTAGTCCCTTCGGACATAGAATATATTATATCCAAGCTCTATCATCCCTCCAATAAGCAAGGCCCACAGGGGAATGAAGACATAGGTGAGGTTCATGACAGGGAACTGTTCCAGCTTAGCACACAGGGCAAGGCAGAAGGCCAGTTTAAGCAACATTGCAGCAAGGTACCAGGCTTTCTTTTTGAGGTTCTGGGAACCGTTGCGAGGGTCGTAGCCGGACTTGCAACGGCCCGCCATTTTTACAATGATCATAACTAGCAGGATGGTATCAAAGATCCAGATAGGGATAAATATTAGAAACCAGTTCCAGGGGGCCTTTTCATCCAGCTTTAACACCAACATAATCAGGAACAGTAATGTGAAGAGCCATGTGAGGAGCACTCTCTGCGCCAAGGACATTCTCATTTAAACAGCTTTAGTAGGTGGTTGGTAACAGCAGAAATGATGGTCCCTAGGAAAAGAGAGGGAGGGAGGAGGACATCAGATATACTCCAGAACAATATGGGGTCTTCAAAGGCTTTACAAATGGAGCTTCCTCCAAAAGATCTTGGAACTAACAAAAGTAGCTTCTTCCCTGAAGGGAAAGTTGTAGGAACAAATTTTAGTATTCAGGAATTATATGGGGTTGCACATAAGATGTTTTATTTATTAAGAAAGTTAGAGGTGTCTCTGCTTGGAAAGTATTATGTGATCAAGGCTACAGCATCTAGTGGAATTCTGTGTTGCTTGCATAAAATTTGCATTCATGTCACCTGAACTGCAGCTTTTGTCAGAATTTCTAGCATGCTTTCCTTTTGAGTGCTCTGCCACCTTTCTAACATTGCACTAAAAAGGTTATCTGCTTAAGGGGCAAGGGTTGGGGCTCAGTGACAGATCACTGACGGACCATCTCCAGTTAGAGGCTCAAAAACAAATGATGCTGGGAATGGGATATAACAGAATCCTGACCTTATTTTCAAGATGCTTCAGACTGGAGCTGTGTAGGGAGGGTTGGGTGGAGTTACTATTTCCACCACTGCATGGTTTGCCTAACTGAACCACAGATGTTAGCCTTGGGAAAAAATGGACATAATTTCTGTTACGCCACAGCTAAGAGCAAGTCAAGGAAAGAGTCACAGTTTCAAGAGGCAAAACAATACAAGAGCAGAAGGATTAATTCATTTCTACCCAGTCCAAACTAGGCCACCAAGCAGCTCTTGGCAATTTGGATCTGCCTATAGGACTGATGGAAGACCTCTCTCTGTCAGAGGGTTCTGACAATCTACTTTCCCCCTATAACTTTTTTCACCATCAGTTTGTTGCCTTTCTTCAGAACTGGACAATATGTAGTCCCAGGAAGGATGAATCTGAGGACTAGAAAACATAAAAGCTGTAACCAACCACAACCAGTACTTGTGCTCAAAAGGTATGTGGAGTTTTTTTCACATTCCTGGGGCTGGGGGACTCATGTGGAGCAATATCCATGAAAGGCTGGGAGGTTACAGTAAGAAACGGGATAAAACTACACTTCTTCCTTATTGTTCCTATATGCTCTCCAAACATTTCATTGGATACAAGTACACTTAAAGGACCAGAAGCAAGCTACAGTCCAAGTTGTTATCAATAGTTATTTTTCCCCCTTATGGTTTTGAGGTTCATATATTTATTTATTACATTAGACTTTTATACTTCCCTCCCCACATGTGGGCTCAGGGTGGTGTATAACTATTATCCATAAAATACATATAAAATCCAATAAGTAATTTAAAATACAATCCTATACATACCTAGTACCCATATGACACTGTAATACAATTCTAGCCCCCCATTTACTTTACATTTGCAGTGGTGGGGGAGAGGGGTGAAAGCAGTTAACGGACCAGATATGGTAGTTGTTGTAGACTGTCAAACCATTAGACCATTGATGTTAATAGCCATTGGTATTAAAATTGTTGCTGTCCTCAATCATATGCTTGGTGGAACATCTCTGCCTTACAGGCCCTGCAGAATTGTAACAGATCCTGCAGGGCCCTGATGTTAATAGGCAGAGAGTTCCTCCAAGCTGGAGCCGAAAAGGCCCTGGATCTGACTGAGGACAGCCGGATGCCCTTTTGGCCAGGGACTTCCAATTGATGTTGATCACTTGAGCATAGTGTTCTCCAGGGGATAAACCAGGAGAGGCGGTCCCATAGGAATGGTGGTCCCTGACTGTTCAGGGCCTTAAAGGTTAAGAACAGAACCTTAAGCCTGCCCTGGTGCTTGGATCCAATGCAGTTGGTGAAGCACAGATTGTATGTGTGCTGTTACTGGTGTCCCTGTAAGGACCCGGGCCATTGTGTTCTGGGCAAACTGTAACTTCTGGATCAGCCTCAACGGTAGCCCAGCATAGAGCAAATTACAGCCATCAAGTCTATAGGTGACCATTGCATGGATTACTGTGGCTAGGTTGGGGTGAGACAGGTAAGGGGGCAGCTGCCTAACCTGGCGCAGTTGGAAAAATGCCAGCCTGCCAGTGTTTGTGATCTGGGCCTCCATTAACAAGGAGGCATCCAGGACCACACCCAGGCTCTTGACTGTCTGAGTCAAGTATGAACATTTGGCAGTCACTGGTCCTACACATTTGGAATGAACTATTTCAGACTAATAGGCTGATCATGGTCTTGTTGCTCAGAAGAAGAATACATTTAAAACTGCAGCCTATCAATATTGTATCTCTCTCAGTTTTAATTTTTGTACCCACCAGAATTAGAGTGATCAAATTATTTATTGTATTGCAAGACCATATCCAAATTAGCTGCAGTGTTACAATATATATTTCATGTTGCTTTTGCTCAACATTTTTCCTATTCTGTCCTCTTTCCTCCAGATGTATATTTTGATTAAAAAAAAAATTGGCAAGCTGAAGTGATCTCATAGGCATCTAGTATCCAAAGGGCTATCCCACTTGCTCCAAATAAAGATTCTGCATAAACGAAACAGTAAGGTTTTGCTGACAATGCTATAGCATTCACGTGCTATAAAACACAAAATTCATTGTTTTTAAAATTGCTTATATCACTTGAATGATTTGACATTTGAAACAATAGGCTACAGGGTAGTCAAGACACTGACATGAATTATGGACACCTGCCTTCTATCATGTGAGCTCTTATCCCAGTATAATTTCCTGTCTTTTCTACGTCAGTGGCTGGGGAGAATTTTGGAATGCATTGCTCACATCAGAGATAATGAACTCCTAATTGCTTTAAGATTGCACACATGTCAGAATGATTGATCAGGGTTTACAAATGCCATTTGTATGTAGACTACCATCCCCTGCTACCAATTAGGAAGATGCATAATAAGTAATAAGATAAAGTAAACTACCAGTGAATAAGTTAGACTCTGGTGGTAGAAAAGGTAGATCAAGACACATCGGTGGGAAGAAGAGATAAATAGCCAATTTCTAGTAGAAGAAAACACCTAGAACAATTTCCCAAAATTTTGAAGCCACAGGGAAGAAACTGAAATTGTGGGGAAAATTCAGATACATGTTGTACTTACTTTCCTATCAAACCTAAACTTCTTTTACTGATTTAATATAAAATGCGTCATTTATACCTTACTCAGTATATAAAATTGTACTATTGTGTACATTTGTAGAATTTGAAATTATAAGTATCTTCCTTTTGTATAAGGAAACGTTGCAAGTATACATAATAATTGAGAGCCGCAAACTGCTGCACCCTATGGTACCATATAGGGATGCCAGCCTCCAGGTGCAGCCTGGGAATCCCCTGGAACTACAGTTCATTTCCAAAATACAGAGATCAGTTCCCCTGTAGAAAACGGATTGTTTGGAGGGTGGAATCTATGGCATTGCAACCCACTGAGGTCCCTGTCCTTCCCAGGCTCTATTCCCAAATCTCTAGGAGTTTCCCAACCTGGATCTGGCAGCCCTACGCCCTCCACCCCCTGCTGGTGGCCATGGGGGACCTGGCAACCCTAGTACCATAGCTCATCTGAGAAGCAAAAATAAAACTGAAGGTAGAAAACAACAATAAAGGGTGTTATTTGGACAGAAACTCTCCCGGATTCACAACAGGTACGACTTCCAGCATGTTTGGATGTTGTTGAACTTTATAACATTGTAAATATTTAATTATTTAATAGTACATCCTTAAACACATTATACTATATTAACTATTCCCAAAATAGTTAATGGGAATGAAGTTAATGGAGAGAGAAATTTGGAGGTAAGGGCAGAAACAAGTCTTGAAAATGTTGCATTAATTCAAAAGCATGAGGAATTTTTTTCTAGTTGTTGTTGTTCAGTCCGACTCTTTGCGACCCCATGGACCAGATCACGCCAGGCCCTCCTGTCTTCCGTCGTCCTCTGAAGTTGGCTCAATTTCATGTTCCTTGCATCTATGACACTGTCTAACCATCTCATCCTTTGCCGTCCCCGTCTTCTTTGACCTTCAATCTTTCCCAGCATCAGGGTTTTTTCTAGTACTGTCCCAAATTTTCCAATTTTTCATTGGAAAAACTGAGAAAGTCCTCAGACATTTTCATGCTATATATCTGAGAACGAAAATCCTTGCTTTAAGAAGGAATTTTCTTGTTATAAATGAGAAAATATCTCAGCCCCCCCCCCCAATGCTTCTCTAAATTTGTTGGGAAAACTACAAAACAAAAATCAGGGGAAATAATCAGGCCTTCACATCCCCATGGATTTCAGCATCTTAGAAAGTAACAACACTTTTTGGGTGGAAGGGAGAATTTTCACTTGCTTAAGAGCAATGCCTTGGACCAAGTGGGTAGTTCTCTCGCCATCAAATTAATAGGAAGAGACAGCATGTTGGGCCTGATGTGATAATCATCTATCCAAATCACAAGAACAGTGGTTTTATGCAAACATGCCCATTTCTGGATGATCTTTGGCATCATACTAACTAGGAAAGCTTCCTTTAAAAAAATCTCCAGAAACCAAAGAAGGGGGGAGGAGGAACACAGTGCCATTTTCAAAGTATGTTTTCCAGTCTTTTTCCATGATGCAACCCTAATATTCTGTTCATTATAAGTTCAAGAAAGCTTGTTCCAGGAGTATGAAATTTGCCTGGCAAGTTATACAGTGTAGCTACCTGGCAAGTAATACAATGTGACAAAACTTCGGGGGGGGGGGAACCTGATAAAGAACAGTTGCCAACCTCCAAGTGCATCTAGAGATCTCCTGGAATTACAACTGATCTCCAGACTACAGATCAGTCCCCCTGGAAAAAATGGCTACTTTGAAGGGTGGACTCCAATGTGGTAACTCCTCAGGCTCCACCCCTAAACTTGCAGGAATTTCCCACCCCAAAGCAGGGAACCCTAATCAAGGTCAGTGGTTCTCCAGGGTCTCAGGCTGCGGTCTTTCACACCCACTGCCTGATTCTTTAACTGGTGATGCTAGTGGGATGAATTTATAACCACCTGAGTGCAAAACAGATCTCTACCAATGAAATTAATGCTGCCTTCCTGTAACTGGAGCTTCTGGGGAACAAATTTGGGATATGCATAAAGGGAAAAGGCTGCAAAACACACGGCTTCTCTTTAAGAGGCTGACTTCTTGTGGGAATGTATGGGGGATGCCTCCTGCATAAGGGCAGACTACCTGAGTAAAATCTTCTGTCAATGGGCATTTTCACGTGAAACCAAGTCTTCCTTTTTCTCTTACAGTAACTACGACCCCTCAGACCCGTGAGTAAAAGGAGATAATCCCCTGGGACATGCCAATAAGAATGGGGGAGACAATAAATTAGGGTCACCATATTTTGAAAAGCAAAACAGAGGACATATATTTCCAACTGACTTCTTCAAACAAGTGATCACTATGAGAAATCGCATTTTAAACACCCCTAATATTTAAGCTGTGATAACTGCTACTAACTAGGAATATTTATAACCTTCCAACCCCAAAAGAGGGCATTTTCATCAGTTCTTTCTAAAGAGCCCAAATGAGGGCAGACACCAAAAGAGAGAGCATCTGGTAACCCTAAATAAACGAGAGGGGCCCGCAGTCCCCAGCCTTCGTCCATCTACGGAACTACCCACCAGGCAGGCTTCGGGCGGCCCTCGCAGCTACGGCTGCTCTAGGAAGGATCCTCCGAGACCCAACTCATCACAGCTCGAGGCCAACCAAAGGCTACTGCCGCGCGACTCCAGGAGAAAACACAGCGCCCAGATCCTCCAGAGAGGCCTAAACCAGACCAACGACCGGATATGTACGTCACTCTTTCTATAATGATGCCCACCGGTTCTTAGCGGCTGTCTATCAATTCATTACTCCTCTTCCATTGGGCTTTACCGCACAAGATCCCGCCTACTGCCGCTGTAACCGAGAGACCCGCCCTCCCGCTAAAGAGTTTGCCTGCTTGCCGGGGAAACTGTATTTCTTCTTAAGCTCGGCCCGCTGTTCTTTCTCTTCTTTCATTGACGGGGAGAGACGCCCATCACCATCCCTCTCGGGAGCCGGCGACAGCCAATCACCTTTCACCCCGCTTTCTTCTCTTTTCTTCATTCGCCCTAGTCAGCGTTCCATCCCCGCCTTCCCTTGGCGTTGCCGTCCAATCAGAAGACCTGTCGTCGTTAAAGGCTCTCAACTTCCCCCGTCCTCTACCCAAGCAGTTATCTCGAACTGATTTTTTTTTTGGGTCGCTGCGCGCCACATCCCCCCTCCCAACCACCTCTTGGAAGAGGCGGAGCCATGATCGCCACACCGCCCTTTCTCGGCGGCGCGCTGTTGCTGCTGCCTCAAATGCGCGCTTTGCGCGCGCCCGGCTGCGAGCTGTTGCCTCTCACGCTGTCTGGTGTCCTTGGTCCAGTACAGTCGCGGTCTTCGCCGAGCTTCACTGTGCATCGTGGGTGCGAGGCGGTGGTTCCGGATAACCGGTACGATTCCGACGGTCCCTTTTCTGCAACAGTGGCTCGAGGCTCGGCAGGGGAGCTTCTAAGGGGCGGGAAGGGTCTCCTGAGGCGGGAGGAAGGAAATGGGGGTCGGGGAGGGGATTAGGAGCGGGAGCTTTGGCGCTGAAGGAGAGCTTGGGGAGCCCTCCCTGGAGGCGCAGGGGCGTTCGTGAGGGGGGGGGGGGTGGATCCGAGGAGGCTTCGGTGAAAAGGGGAAGCGCCGGGAGGGAGGGAAGGGGGCTGGCTGGCGGGTGGGTGCTGGGAGGCAGCCACTGCCACTTGTGGTGAGGAGAGGAAGAGAAAGCGAGGGGGCGAAGTCAGGAGAAGAGCGGGGTGGGGGTGGGATGGCTCCGATGGAAGAGAAAAGGGGGGGCATAGTGCGCCGGGGGGGGCTGGAGGAGGACACGTGTGTGTGTGTGTGGGGGATGTTTGGGGGAGACGGGGCTGCGGTACGTTTGTGAACGAGACGGCGGCTGCAGGCTCTGTGCCGTAAGGAAGGACGACCCTTTTGTGGTCTCAAGGGACTTCGCGTCGGGTCAGGAGAGAACGGACGGCTGTCATTGGAAAGCGAAGGGGGAGGATGCGGAGAGCTGTCAGAGTGCGGAGGGAGGGGGACGCGAACCACCCCGAGGGGGTGTAGTTGGGCTTGTTAAGGCTGGGTGGCTTCTTCCTCTTAAGCTTCGGGGTCTGGGGTCCTCTTTTCCCCCTTCTCCTCTTTTCTGTACTCCTTTCCCAGAAGTGGTTTGCTTTGGTCCTCACTTACTTTGTACAGGGCATGTGACTTCTAAAAACTAGGTCCTTCCAGAGTAGGTTATCCTTTAGCACCAGTACAAAAGACCAAGAATCCAGTAGCACCTTAACAGACAAGCAAAAATTTGTGGCAGGATGGTCCACAAGACAGGCTCCTGGGTAGACTACTCCCCAGCGATGCTATCATGGTGTACCCTGCCACAAATTTTGTTAGTCTTTAAGGTGCTACTGGACTCTTGATCTTTTCTGCTGCTACAGACAAACTTACACAGCTACCCATCTCTTATCTCCGTTTAGTACCAGGTAGCTTTTAAGGAGAGTACAAAGGGCCCAGATCATCACTCTTTCTATGAAGTTAAATTTGTGGGTAGACATGCTGGCTCTGACCTTTAGGGTAACTAGTGGTAGGTTGGTGTGGTGATTATAGCTTGCTGAGTTTTCTCATGGTTGCAGTTTCTCAGTGAAAGAGTAGAGAGAAAAGATTTTAAAAAGGTTTGATTCTGTGAACAGGAATACAGTGGCATGTCTGTTTTTCTCTTATTTGGATAGGTGTCTCACAATAGCTTTCCACATGATAGTGTGATGAGCTTCATCTGATGTTTGTAGGACTCTTAACATTAAGATGGGGTGACACTTTTTAGTGCAGGCATTGCTCAGTACCCGTGTGGCAGATTTTAGGCCCTGAGGTTAATGCTTGAGCTCCTTAGACATGAGTATGACTTGGCCATCTTTCTCAAAGGGAGCAAGACTTTTAATCACTGGAGCACGTGCTGAGCATAATTCATACTCCTTCCAGCATTCAAAGCACTATATTACCAAACCTGTTGGTGTTTCGCTTTTTGCCCTATTGCATCCTGCATCTTTTCAAGTCCAAGAATGTTAGCCTCTATCATTTCTTTATTCCATAAGCATTCCACATTACCTCTTAGGTTTGGAATGTTTTCATTAAAAATGTATGCTTAACCAATATGTTAAATTTCCATCAAATGCATCCTTT